TTTTTTTTTCTGTATAATTTTTTAGATCGTTTACTTGTACAAAAAGCTAAAGAAGAAGCACGTACAACAAAAAAAGATGAATTTTTTGAAAATTGTCCATTACAATATGAACAAATTTTGCAAATTATTGATAAATTACAATTTGACGAAACACCACCATATGCTACCATTTATAATATTTTAAATGAAGTATTTATTATTTTTCATTTTATTTCATTTATTATTTTTCCCATTTTTTTTTTGTTTTTGTTTTTCAATAAATTACAATATGGACATATTATTTCGGAATTATTAAAAGATTTTTTTTTGTCATGATTTTTTTTTTTCATTGAATAAAAATTGGAAACAAAATAGTTGAAAAAAAGCGATAATAGTATTTAAGAGAAAAAGCAACAAAACTTAAAAGAAAGGAAAGAAAATACGAAGTTTACTACTTTTTGAAATATCAAATGTAAATATTTTTCATAATTTGCAACAATTATGAAACTAAATATATAAATTAATGTATATCAAATGAAAAAAAAAATTTTGATAATACTTTTTTGAACGAATAAAAATTTTACAGATAGCAGATGAAAACGGCACTGCATTAACGGTGGGATATGATTGGAATGATAGCATATCATCGATAACAACATCTACTTCTAATGCAATAAGCCTTGATCATAGTCCATCAAACAATCATAAGGAGAAAAATATTGGACAAGATTGCTTGTCACGTGATGACTTACCAGTTCAATAATAAATTATAATTATTAATTTATAACAATATTCACATGAATAATGATAATAATAATAATTGGAAGATTGACAAATATGAAAAATTTTCGTAAAAAACATATTATATATTAAAATTTCTTTCTAAATATAATCCATATTTATATCAATTTTTTTTTAATTTGATCTTAAAATCAATGCACATTAACATGAAATATATAACTTGCAATCTATATTAGCAAAGAATAATTCATTATGAAAACTAATTCATATATTAGTAGCATATAAGAAATGATTAAAATTAAATTATGAATAAAATTCTTTCGTTAGTTTTATCACTATTTATTTTAGCTTGAATATTTTCAATGTAAAATAAAAATATCACAAATATGATTTCACGTCACATTTAAAAATTTTTTTTAATTAAAATTTACACTCCAATTCTCTCGTTTCTTATATTTTCAAATTTATTTTTCTTTTGCAATTAAATTTGAGGATTGATCGATTTTTTTTGTATTTTTTCATTCTTTTTTGTAAACATTTTCAACCTTTTCTTTTGTATTTTATTTATATTGTAAAATTTCATCATTCCTTTTCGTTTTTTCTTTCTTAATGAATAATTGCAAATTTAACGTTGTATATTATATATTTATTTATAAGGAAATGTAATGTTAGCACGATATTTTATGATAAGTTTTAAAATAGGAGTTTAAAATATTTACAAAAAAAAAATAACAAATAATTAAAAATGGATTAAAAGCACAAAGATTTACTGATACTATTTTAAAGCACATAATTTTGGTTAGCATACAATTTATCGTTATCATTGTTAATAAAGCATGAGAAAATAAGTTAATAATAGTTTGTATTGCAAAACATTGACAGTACTCTAACAATAGTCTATTTAATTGTTGATAATTTAGGCAGAAATTATCTTGAATTTTTCAAAACTGTTAGATGATTTACAAGACGATATTTTCAATAAAAGACAAAAATTTTACAATTTTCGCATAATTTAACATTTTATTTCTTTTGAGTTTATGCATTTTAACTTTTTCAGATATCATTTTTTTTCCTTCTTCTTTCTCCCAAATGTAAGATAAGAATTTTTTAATTTAAAAAGGAAATGAAGCATTACTGTTTGTTAGTTTAATGTAATGAAAAATTAGTAAACTAAGTTCAAATTTGTCAAATGTTTAAGAAACTAAGAAATGCTAAATAAGACACAAAAATATAAATTTTTTTTTCTATTAAAATTAAAAAAAACTATTGAACGAAAAAAACAGAAAAAATAATAATATAAGGAAAGGAAAACTTTTTTCTACTTAACATTAAAGAGAAAAAAAAAGATTAATGTATCACTTTACACATTAATACATTTTTTCGACATTTTAATTTTCATACCAAAACTTTTTATCAATTTAACTCTCTATCAATACCAAAAGATTTTTCACAATATTCCAATACATAAAAGCAAAAAAAAGAATATTAAAATAAAATGATACCAATGAATGGTAGCAATTATCTCTTTTAAAAAATTTTTGTAATTATGAATCAAATGATTAAATTCAAAATTATACAATTATTGTTCCAGGAAAAGAATTGCATAAAATAATGATGAATTAT